CTTTTGTAGTGCCGTCTTCAAACCCTTCCGGCTGCTTCATATACACCTCTTCCTCCAATTTGCCGTAAAGGAACGCAGTCTTTATATCAAATTGTTTTGTGTACAATTTTTCCGAAGCTGCCACACTCAACAACGTTCGAACTGTATCGAACCTGGCTACTGAGCTGAAAGTTTCAGTAAAATCGACGCCAACCCTTTGTGCATAGCCTTTTGCAACAAGTCTGGCTTTAAAACGATGCTGTTTTCCATCTGGTTTGGTTTTTATCGTTAAAACCCATCGACTTCCCACAGATTTCTTGCCTGGTGGTAATTGAACTAGATCCCATGTATTATTTTCCTGAAGTGAAGCGATTTCTTCTTTCATGGCGTGTTTCCATTCCTCGCAATGGTCAGAGTTCATTGCTGTGGCAAACGAGTGCGGTGGCGAATGTTCCGCAAACAACACATAATCGTTAAGGTATGCTGGCTTTTTACATTGTCTTCGAGCAGATATTTCGTCCGTAACGATCTTTTGAACCGCTACTTCCTCCGCATCTTGTCCAGGTGCTTCCTCCATAACGATGCCTTCACTAATGGAATCCTCTTCTTGTGCTTCGACCTCTGTGACTTCGTCCACAGCGGATTCTTCCCCTTGACAATTTTGAGATACCACATTTTCATTCGGTGACGGATACTTCTTACTCGAAACAATGGTCACTTCGTTGCCATGGATTTCAGGTGTCGTCACATCTTGAGCATTTTCCAGAATCTCCTCTTTTGAAAAAATTATATCGCGACTTAGCATAACTTTTTGGCGTGACTCGATCCATACACGATATCCATCCTTTACACCACAGTAACCAACAAAATATCCAGGAATACCCTTTTTATCCCATTTTCTTCGGTTTGGTTTAGGCACATGCACAAAGCACTTGGTACCGAATATCTTCAAATGGTTTGGTTGAACCTCGGGTTGAACAGCATCTCTCCCGTACCACAATTCATACGGAGGTTTTTCAAATTGAGTGGGGCCCGTATGATTTAAAATATAACAAGCCGTATTTACAGCCTCAGCCCACAGCCTAATCGGCAAATCCCTTGCATGAATCATGCTTCTAGCGCTTTCTACAAGTGTACGATTCTCACGTTCTGCGGAGCCATTTTGTTCAGGCGTATTAAGGCATAGTAACACGGAGATTAATACCCTTAGAGTTCAGAAACGACTTCATATTATTGTTGTCGAATTCTTTACCTCCATCACATAAAAGTTCTTTGATTACATGCCCTAACGTAAATGCTTCATTCACAAATGTTTTAAAGCATTCAACCACTTCAGATTTTAACGTAAGGAAAAATACTCGTCTATATTTTGTATAATCGTCCTTAAAACAGACAAAGTACCTCGCACCACCCAGAGAACTCTCCTGCATAGGACCACACACATCTGCATGAATTAGGTCTCCTGCTGATGCAGATTTGTTCATCCTTGTACCGAAACTTGCACGTTTTTGTTTTCCGAAAACACACCCGTCACAGAACTCCGTACCACCTTTAACAACACAGCCGTGGCGCTGTAAATACGTCTTGACATGACGTTTATTCTGATGGCCTAGCCTTTCGTGCCATAATTGTAGAGTATCTGTTGATGATGCAACAAAAACTTTTTGAACAGCTGCTGGTAAGCGAACCCGCATGTTTAGTTCATATAGACCTTTAATTGTTTTTTCACCACTTAATCGTACAGTTCCGTGTTTTACAAATTCACACCTGTTACCGTTTGCTCGAAACTCGAAGCCTTTGTTTATTGTTTCCCCGATTGAAAGTAAGTTACGTCCTATTTCTGGCACATACCAAACATTTTCTAAATAGTTTGGTACCCAAACACCATTAATTTTCATTTCGACGTTCACCTTGCCTTGCCCGTATGCATAAATAACTTGACCATTTCCAACTTGTACCGGTTTTTGAATAGCAAAAGATTTGTAAGTAAGAAAATACTTTCTTTTCATGGTCATATGCACTGACGCGCCAGAATCAGCAATCCAATTATTGTTGGGATTTCTACACCCGGAAAAACACGCAAATGCTTCCCCGGTCGGTTTTGCAGATTTCTCCACTTGTAATTTTGAATCTCCCGCTCTTCTGGGACAGTTTTTCGCACGATGACCAACCTTGCGGCACTTATAACACTTCCGCCATTTTTCCTTATCAAATTTCTCACTATCTTTACCACCTTTAGCGACTAGCGCGGTACAATCGTCTTTCCTTGAAGGCAAACGCATTTCTATAAGCCTCAATCGTTCAGTTAGTTTGTTTACTGTCCTATCTTGCAAAGGCACCGATTCCCACACACTTTTAAATTCGAAGTAGTCTTTCGGTAACGTGGACATAATGCGACTCATTAACAATAGATCTGGGAGCACAGTGTTCACCAAGCTTTTCATTTCTTCATTTAATTCACTGAAGTTGCGCTGAAGACGAGCGATATACGTCGTGATATCTTCGGATGCATCTTTTTCACAGCTGAAGAAACTCTCTAGAAGTCTGTCCACTCGTTGACTTGAACTTTGTTCATATATTGAAATTAGCTTGTCCCAAACTGATTTTGCTGTATCACATGAGACAGTAAGATCAATATTGGTCTCATTCATTGCAGTCATCAAGGTTAATTGAGCCAAAGCATCGTCCTTTTTGAATGCTTTTAATTCGACCCCATACTTAGTTTGATCAGCAACAGACGCCTCATCCACAGGTGCCACTGGCAAAGTCCTTGTACCATTTACCAAGTCAAGTACTTCATGGTGTCTTAACAGCAGCTCTATTTGCCGACGCCACTTACTCCAGTTTCTGGCCCCTTCTAACTTTTCAATCTTGATCTTAAAATCCATCTCTTCACCGATGGATGATAAATCTTACAAAACCAAACGCTTTTTTTTTTATAGGTTATACCGAGCAGTGAGCACGTGCTGTAGGTATCACGATTCACAGGTATCACTCAGCTTCACGCAGTTTCAATGCAGCCTGGGCCCATAACCTCTTGTAGCATTTATTATAAACATTATTTATTTATAAATAATGTTATAATCGTAAGAAAATAAACGTAATAATAAAACAACGTATCAAGAACAAGAATTGACGTGTCGACATTTACACGGACAACGGACAAGTACTACTACCACAGATATATACAGTGCGTTTATCTTAGATTGGAACATACGATTTTGCATGCAATGTTATTTCCCTATGTTCCATTTTAAAAAAAACGCATCAACCTGAAGGATATGCGCGGTTCACAACTAAAACAAACGTATTAGAAATTTGCGAGTCACATTTGAACCAGCCTTTATTTTTAGGTTATGTACGTGTACGGTCGAAAGTCGAAGAAAAATTGTTTAATAATAAATAAAATGAATTTAATTATAAGTTATAACAAATGTTCAAAGTGCCCTCCTTCACATTCCAAGCAGTACCCTAACCGATTGCGAAATTCCTGAATACTATTTCGTAAAAACGTAGGATTCATTTGATCACATGCTGTTAGTATTCGGGTTTGTAACTCTTGCACATTCTGAATGGGAACATGATTATAAATTTTCGATTTTAGATATCCCCAAAGGAAAAAGTCATTTGGCGACAGATCGGGAGATCGTGCTGGCCAAGTGCCAAGATATTGGACCAAATCTACCGATCCAACGGCCCGGGAATGTTTCATTGAGGAAACTTGTCACTGGTCTCGTAGAATGTGGTGGAGCCCCGTCCATTTGAAACCATGGGTTGTTTATATTCAACTCCTGTAACCGTGGAATAATGCGCGATCTAAGTAATTCGAGAAACTTTGTTGAATTTAGAGTTCCATCGATGAAGAACGGTCCGATTAGAATATTGTTTATTATCCCGGCCCAAACGTTAATTTTAATATTATATTGCGTATGCGTTATGTTGTGTACATGATTATTAGTTTGTGACCAATATCTAATGAAGAAAACGGTATCAGTAAGATTTAATATGGAGATAGGTACCTACCGATAGTTTTGAGAATTTACTGTACCGTTCAGAGAAAAAGATGCTTCATCTGTAAACATTATTTTGTGCAATATTTCCTCATTATTGTTTAACAAATTAAATATTGTTTCGCAAAAGTCTGTGCGTTTTATTTTATCATCATCAAACAGTTGTTGGTGATTTTGAAATTTGTACGACTTGTATTTAAATTTCTTTAGCGTTTTAAACACGGAAGTTCTAGAAATTTCAAATTCCTTGGCCATTAAACTTAGTGATGCTGTTGGGTTTTCTTCAGCATAGCACAAAATTTCTAATTCCAATTCTTCATTAAGGACATGGTTAATTTTTGCCTTTTTTGTGTGAAGATTTGCAACACAGCCATCCCTATCAAATTTTGCTATAACTCTGTGGATCGTTGAAATGGATGGTATTTGTTCGTCAGGATACTGGACTGCAAGTAAATCGCGGACTTGTCTTGTACTGTTTAGGCCTTTGTATAAATTTATAATTGCAATTTTCATTTCTTTAGGCAGCATTTTTGAATTTATTGCAGGGCGGTAGATTTAAAGGTGACAGTAGTACATTGCGCCTACTACCCATTTGAACTACTCCTTCAGGTTGATGCGTTTTTTTTAAAATGGAACATAGGGAAATAGCATTGTATGCATAATCGTATGTTCCAGTCTAAGATAAACTCACTGTATATATAATACATAAAACAGTGTTGCCGCTATGAATGTTTTGTCATATTCTCAACAATTACTATGCATTAATCGCTCATCTTTTTCCTCATCCATCGGTATGCTGGGATACGGCTTTCGTGATTCGGGAATGCCTTTTATTTAGTTAGGTCAAACGAAGCTTAACTGTTCTTGTAATAAAGTGGACAAGAAAGGGTGCTTTATAATCGCAAATAAAAAGAAAAATAATTCTGAACTCTTATAAACAAACTTTATTAAAATAAGAATAATAATAATAAGAAATCCAATAAAATTCATGCAAAATACGTGAATATGTACCTCTTTACGACTTTTGAGCTCTTCCGAATTAAAACTATTGAGCAGCAACGCCAAGAACAAATTAAGCACCATAAAATTTCCCATAACGAGCGTTGGTAGAAATACTGCGAAGCAAGTGCCCGGGCCCTACAAATAGAGAGAAAAACAAGTATAAATTGATTTACTTTTAATTTGGTTCTTTAACTTTACTTCTGTCGTTTCTGCTCGCATGCAGTCCCAAAGAGGCTCGATCCACTCGCCGCACAATATCCGAAAAATCATCATAAACGAATGGAAAAAATCGGTAAAGTTCCACCTGTAACAATAAAACATTAAAACGTTTCCGCTGTTAGGAGTTGAAATTGAATACTTTCCTCGGAACGGGATCCGGATAAAATTTTTCAGGCGTATAATCCTTCGAAAAAAGTTGCATTCCTATCACAGCAAATATGTATATAACAATTACTAAAACGAAAGTTAGGTTTCCTAAAGCACCGATTGTACTAATGATAATACTTAATAAAACTTTCATAGTTATCCACGATTGCGCTAATTTAAGAACGCGCAACTGAAAATAATTCTTACGTTAATTACTATTCGCATGTAAAGGCACGGTCGTTACCAATCGCAAGCCTCGAAGCACCGACAGCCCGTCGACAAGCTCGAAAATTAAATCTAGGACACTTGCGGATACTATAATTAGATCGAAAATATTCCATCCATTCTTAAAAAAGTCCTTGCTGAGCGCCATCAGTTTCATTGTACATTCTAAGGTGAAAATGGAAGTAAATACCTAAAAATAGAGTAAATAATACATATTGTGGAAACCTTTTGTGGTAGGTAATGGGAATTACGTAGCATACAGGGCCAACGGAGGTAATACGCAACATAGTTATGATAATTGTATGTTCTTATTTGTAAGATTACATTACTTCAAACAATCCTACGTTTACGCAAATGCTTACGTTAGTGTGCGTTTAAATAAACGTATACGTAAATATTTCATAAACCGTAACTCGTACATATCCGTATCGTTTCCGTAAATTTACTTCGCTGTTTACAATAAACCATAATAAATACGTAACTTTGAAACATTTTCAACCTTTGCGACTATGCCCAAGACTTACATAACGCTTACATATACGTACGTAAAAATTACGTTCATTGTAAACACCTTCGTATGTTTCTATACAGTTCAACTTTGCGAAATGTTTACGTTTTATGTATTTCTTACGTATACGTTCATTATAAACGCACACTTAAGTTTACGTTCATGCTAACGAATATTACTATTAATTGAAATTCACGGAATGTATCATGGTTATCTAGAAATTTAACGAATGATCGGTGAAATGCTTGTATACCCGATATGATCAGGCACACTCTGGTTCACTTACGTGATACTTGGCCTTGGTGAAATTGGGATTACTAATAGTGAAGGTCGTTAGATCGTGGTCTAAACTAAAAACCAAAGTCACTGAAGGTCAAGCGGTGGAATTCGTTCCTGAGCTCAATGTCACTGAAGGTCAGTCGATCGTGGTTGTTGTCTAAACGATAAACCAAAGTCATTGAAGGTTAAATATACACGCGTTTCTCCCTGAACTGCATGTCAGTAAAGGTCGTAGACGAGCATTCTTTCCTGAATTAAAGCAAAATCAAGGTCACCGAAGGTCAAACGTAGACGCGGCGATTCCAATGTGACTGAAAATCCCACTTGAAGGTGAACTAGAGGGAGAATTGAAGATAAAATAGAGAGCAAAATTCAAGGTGAAATAAAGCATTATTCTCAGCTCAAACAACATTATCGAGTTTTAAAACAAAGGGTGTATTGTTTTCGGGCTCAAGGTCAAACGTGTTTCAATCCTTCGAATCTAAATATATCCTAATGGCGAATATGTAGATAAGGATGACGCCTTCTCCAACATAGTGAAGG